AACAAGCTCTGCATGTATAACAAACATCTTCTATTAACGAAACTTTTCATAATATAAATATGAAGATCCAGCCAAACTGAACTTTTTTGGTTTGACTTTTTATAAACCGAAACCAAACCAAAATTTTTTGGTTTGAACCAAACCATTCGGAGCTTTAGATGATCCTGATAAAAAATTATTAAGAAAATGCCAGAATGTGTGGAAACATCTGTAGGCTAATTTCTTAACTTGTATTTGTTGTTAGTGATCTAAGCAATTCCAAATTTAAATATATTAAAACTCAATAGTTGTGAGAATTAGAAGACTTCATTTGATGACAATAGAACAGTAGAGGATACTCATGTTCATGAATTATTGCATCCACTTTTAAAGCCATTCTTCACTATTGAACAAGGATGTGATATTAACTGGTAAAAATATTAATGAACAATTATGTTGTGTTAGGCATTTAAAATCATTATTTTAATGACCTGTTTATTTTACTACAAGGCCAACAAGATGTCCATTTCAAGTGCTGAATGAAAATGTAATGAAGAAGGTGATGGCCATAAGCCTGATTTCATGATCTCTGTAGGCCAGGGTTGGCAAATTGACTGGTCCATTGAGAACTGATGGATTTTGGACTGGTCCATTGCCATTAATAAAATACTAAATATGGTTAAAATGTTACACTAATGGTCCCAACGGACCACCAATGGACCATCAATGGACTGCACATTTGCCAACCCTGCTGTAGACATCAATGGTGGCACTGATAAATTTGAAGCTAATATCTATTTAGTGAATGTAGATTTAATAAATTTGGGAGTTTTGATGAAAGATTCTCTTAATAAACTATATACTAAATATATTAATGAACTTGACATGGCAGTTTTTGGTATACATTGTTTTGGTATGGTATTTTTAAGCTTAACATTCTTTTTTTTTATGGATGTGTTTATCTGATATTTCTGAAAATTTTTTTACTGGCAGGCCACAATTTAAGAATATACAGAATGGATTTAACTTACAATAAATAGTCTTTACAGAATGTACATGTTAGGTGAATTTGAGTTACCAAGATCCAATATTAGTTATTTGTTAGTTGATATGCATGGTGTGAAATTGAAAATCTAAGGGTGGATATTACTTTTAATATTATGTCAAAATGGCCTTTTTAAAGTAAATACTAATTAACAATTACAGTTATTTGTTGAAGAGTATATAAACAGAATACCGACTTATTTATCAACAACTGATAATTATCATACATACAGCTGGATTAAATAAAGCTCAATGTTATGAGGGTGGAAAAGGTTTTCAATACTTAGATATTAAAGAAATTTTGGGAATTTATTTTAAGAAATTACCAGGTATACAGAAATATTAACATTTTCTTTTTGAAGCAATTAATCTTAGCATGGTCAAAGCTCAGGAAATTGCTAATGGGCCTTTTATTGAATTCAATTTATTGAAAACCAAAAAAGCAGATATTTTTGAAGAAATTAGAACTTTGTTCTATTTTAGTGTTAACATTACCTCCTTTGGATTACAAAAGACAAGAATATCTTTACCAGAATATTTGTCCATTTGTGAAAGATGAATACAAAGATATTACTTGCCCCAAGTCAGCATAAAATGTAATTGAATAATTTTTATACTAAATCAAAATGACATGATTAACTCTTATGTTTCTTAATCTTCACTATCTTAATAACTAAAATAACTAGAAGGCACAATAGTATTTCACATCCAACCATTCAGTAAACTTTTTTTATTAAAAGAACGTGCAGGAATTACTGATCATTCAATTTTAAAGGCTTTCATGATTTGTGGTATCCAGATATATTTGCAATTCCTGAAATTTCACTGTAAAATTTATTGTTTTTAAAATTTTTATTAATAATAGTATTTTGTTATTGTTTTTTTTAAATAAGTAAAAATAAAAAATAAAGATTAAGAATATTTGTTTGGTTTTGGGATTCTTAGGAGTTTCGAAACAGTTTAGGAATCTGGGCTCATTTTCTAAATCAGTTTAGAATAGTTTTAATTTCGAATAATTCTAAATTCATGAGGCAAACATCCAGGTTATTAATGAATTTACCCAAAATTTTCGAAATTTTTTACTTTTAAGCATGTAACGTTTTTCCATTTTAGCATATAACATGTCGGGAATTAAAAGCTTTATCCATATAACATGTAACTTAATATATTATCCAATGTATTTTTATCTAATTAATTAAAAAAAATCATATAATTATTGGTGTTCTTCACTTATTCACCATATTCTTAATAAACCTATATCTGAAATGTACTCCGTTTGACGAAATACTTTTTACACTCCAAAATATTCTCGTCACCCAACCTTGCAACACATACAAGTAAATCCTACACCGTTAACTTCATTCAAAGTAAAAAATTAAGAGCTTTTAAATCAGAAATTTAACAGGAAAGCTGCCAACCATTGAAAAAATTAAAAATTAGATGTCTTGATTTATTACAACGACTGGAATTTTGTGTTTGTGATGAAAAAAAAGAAACATATAATAATAAAAAAAATACGAAATAATTAAAGAAACTCAATATAATAAAAATAACAATAATAAAGCGATTAAAAAACCAATACCAAATCAAGGACCTGGAAAATATTTTGAAAATATCAACAATAAATATATATAAATAAAAATTGTACCAGAGCCGTTAATATTAACGAAAGTGATACAAACATAGTAGTAGATAAGGGCTTCATGTTTGTTGTACTACTTACTAATTAATGGAATCAGGATCAACTGAACAGAAAATTTGTTGTTTTACATGATAAAATTTACGCGTTTTTTTAAGATAGATTTTAAATTTGTGCAGAATTATTATTAAAATGCCAACTTGCGAAAGAATTAAAGAGGCGTTGTTTCTAAATCTATTTCAAGAAGTGACTGGTTCAGACGAATTTGATGAAAAGTTTTGATGAAGACGAATTGCCCTTTGAATCGGATAAATATTTGTTGTTGTTGTTTGTCATTATTAATAGAAGAAGTTTTTGTCCTTGAACCAGATAAATAACTTATTGTTATTGTTCTACATTATTAGTAGGAGAAACTATCCTTTGAACTGGGTAAATACTTTGGCATTGTCATCATTAGTAGAAGCTACCTTTTGAACTGGATGAACACTTTATTGTTGTTGTTGTACAATTTTTTTAGAGTTTTTTTTTTTTTAAAAAATCGTTTCCAAATTTGGGAATGAGAAATAAAAACAAGGAAACAACAAATTCGTTGTTTCTCTTCCATTTTCCTGTTCCTTTTGATCGGCCAATAAAAATTAGTACTAACGTGTAACAAGGAACAGGAAACAGGAACCAAATACATTAATTAATATTAGCACACTTATCTTTTACCATATATGGAACATATTACGATCAGAAAAGAACCAATCATCAAACTATAATTCGATTGTGTAATATGTTCTAAATTTAATTAATATTTAATATGGAGAAAGGCAATCAACAGTGTTAGACTAGATTTTGAATTTCTAAATTTTATACAAATCTATAAAGAAAAGACATGGCGAGAACTCTTAAACGGTCATAAAATTTCCAAATTACGTATTATTATTACGTGTGTAAATATAAAATTATAAAATTAACAAATTAACAAAATCATGATCTTTTTTCCATATATATACACAAGAATAAACGCTAATTTCATGCAGTAAAAAAATAGATAACAGGCTATGATAATAATAATAATAATATTGAAACCATAATAGAGCCAATAAAAGAATGAATATAAATTAATATAAGTTAGACTTTTCGGTCGAAGCTACCTCTCTTGGTAGCCGAAGTTGCCGAAACACTTTGAGCAAAATTTAATTTTTTATTAATCGCCGAGATTATACGTTCATTATTATTATAATAATAATATTGAGAAATCAAAACTATTGCAAAAAAAATTTTTTTTTTTCGAAAATAGTTGGATTGGAAACCTTGATTATATATAAATGAACGAACACATTGAATTATTAGGTTTTTTTACATTTCCATTATTAATAATATATTAATATATTTAGGTAAAACATACTTTGCACATTGTTGCTACCAACTTTGTTTGTAATGCCTTATATATAAAATATACAAATAGAAATCATTGTATGATGATTTCAGCTAATACCAATAAAGACAATTAATATAATAATATTTCCCGGTTTTGGATCATTTGTAACATATATATTAATTGATCGACAAGGAGTTCCAGAATCAATTTCCATATTAGTAGGTGAGATTATCTGTTCTCCCAATTTTGACAAAAGGATTTTATGTAATATGCGTGACGCTATTAGTTTTTTTTTGTTTTCCAAATCAGTAAAACACTAAAGGATAATGAAAATGGAATTTAATAATGGTACGACAAATTCGATTAGTAATGGATTATCAAATTAAAACTATGCCCAATGGTGTATAATAGAATTTAAGCTATTCCTTGCATGCATGGTTATGTTTATTGGATAACATTTAATATGTGTGTGTGTGTGTGTGCATTATGTAAATATTTATTAATATATATTTAATGTTTTTTTTATCATGCTACAATTAATCAAAAATGATCCTCGTGTCACGGCCGTCTTTTACAAAGACCATTATATAAATGCTATGCGAAAACATTTTTCCTGAAAACTATTTGTATCAACAACAATAACAAATATCGATCTTTACATTCTCTTTATTTTTTAAAAAAACCCTTTATTATCATTATTTTAACACACACACCCTCACACACACACACACACACACTACACTTTCGCGTACAGATTCACCACCATGAGCAATAATCAAAATGAAACATTAAGATTTTGTGATTGGCGTATAGAAATTTATGGTTGCTTTATGAGTGATATGTTTTCAATGGAAGCAATTACCTCATTGATAACTTATGCAATTTTAGCAATTATTGGAACAGCCACGTTTATTTATCGCTATAAATATACGTGGAAAGGATTGTTCATTAATCATTACGGCGGATTAAGGCCATTGCCTGTTGACAATTTATTGTTTTTTTGGACAATCGCCTGTTATTTACGCGGATTGCATTCACTCTTGATGTTATTGGACGTTTACACAAGCTATCTACAAAAAGAAGCGGTCCAAGAGATTGGTTGGACTGTGCTATGTTATGGAGCTGTAACTTACATAATTGGTATAATCTATACAATTCCAGTCAATTACTCTCATTCAAATAATAGTGAGAATGACGATAGTAACAATCTTTATAAAGTGCGCACCATATACATCCCATCATCTAAAGTCTTAAATATTTTATTATGTTGTTGGTTACTGTATCCTACTTTAACATGTTTTCCATTTGCAATGTTATCTGGAATTTCAAGAGATAACGGAAATGATAAATTGGCAGACATTTGGACAATGGCACAATACATAGCTTACACATTTCATGATTTATTATTATCAACGGTTGGGATCTACTATGGCATTAATTTTATTTTAATATTAAATAAATCATCAGAACAATTTAAATCTTCGCCATCTTCATCTGCTTCACAATCATCCACCACAAGGCTTGAAAAAACAACAACCAGCTATAACTATACAAACAATAATGTTTCACGTGTAGCATTGGACAGGCTTAAATATACAATGACTTATATTGCCATATTGCCTTTAATTGCTGCACCTTGGTGGTTTTTTTTTGGCGTTTACCGTCTTAAATTTATCAGTTCAGCAGGTTTATCCAATTTATTTTTGTCTTCAATGTGGCATGTAACTGGTATACAGCCACTAATGGCAGTGTTTCAATATATAGTAGTAAAAGGTGCATATCAACATTATAAAAGCAACAAACCTTCAAAATTGAAATCATCAACAACTTCAACTTCTTTATCCTCAACATTATCTCCGTCACAACAAATGCTTTCTTCTGATAATAATAAATTCGGCTACAAAAATAATGATAATAAAAATAATGATAATGATAACAGTAAACGTTTTAGTAATAATTCTGACTTTTCGGTGGATAATGATCAGATTGATCAGATTTCAGAAAATTTAGAAAAGTATAAAACGTCCAAGAATTATAACAATGTCTAGAAAAAACCCCTCGCTATATATATATATATATATATATATATATATAGTATACATTGAGCCTCTTTATAAGCACTAGATAAATATGTTTATAGGAGGTGTAGTCGCATTAAATATCATCACAGTGTGACTACTATATATTAATATTGAATAAAATTTTCAATAATTTATTTAATATAATAATATAAATATTATAAATATTATAAAGAAATAAAACATATAGAAAAACAATACACAGTTTACATTATTAATTATTTTTTTAAAAATATTTATGAATGCTGGTTTGAATTTTGGTTATAAAAATTTTTCTCTTTAGTGCAGAATTCAATGGCATATACACTTGGAGATGTGCCCATTTGCATTACTTGGAATGACAAAAAAATTTTACTCGTATCAGGATAAAAGATGATAATAATAGTAATAGTAATGGTAATAGTTAGTTTCTTTCTATTCGTAATACAAATTCTTATTCGAATAGAACCATTAAATAATGGATACGAATTAGGAGATATAATAATGATACTAAAAATAATAATAACAAAAATAAAAATAATAAAAATAATAACAAATAATATAAATAATAATGATAAATAATAACAATAACCGATAAATAATAACAATAACCGATAAATAGTGTCATCAGAGAAATTTTTTCATCAATTGAAATTTATTTACAAAATAAAAAAAACCGTATTTATTTATTTATTCAATTTCTTAGCCGGCTAAAGTTTTTAATAAACACCTAAAGATGTGTTTAGGTTGTCTGACCATTACTCTGTTTCTAATAAAATATTTCTAAACCACTAATTGCATTTTTTACCAGTACCAAACATCTGATGATGAATCATTATCATTATCATTCATTGCACATTTGTTCGTCATTAAGATACTCTTTTGCTGGTGTATTTTGATCAAAACTATCAAAATATTCATAGCATCTGGCATTATTGTCAGATTTGGATCTTGAATATTTGCATCTACCATGATGCCATTTGGAACAATTCTAAATGGTTGTTTGAGCGACATAATCTCGAGCATCAGCAATAAAATCAATGTGCTTCTTTTATGTTTGA